GCCCCCCCCGACGAGCCGCCACTGAAAACTGGCACCGTTTTGGAGAGAAATGGGCTCTAATTTTAACCCATATCATTGTGTGTGATGCTGAGCTATGAGGTTCTAATGGTGTTTGTTTTTGCACTGTTCTAAACATTAATATTTTATGTGCAACAACAGCATGCTGTCTTAGTGGCCTTACACATGATTTTAAATCTTTTTTTTTTTCAAACTTTATGTATTGCAAAACGCTAAAACTGGCACCGTTTTGGAGAGAAATGGGCTCTCATTTTAACCCATATCATGGTGTGTGATGTTGAACTATTAGTTTCTAATGGTGTTTGTATTTGCACTGTTCTAAACAGTAATATTTTATGTGCAACAACAGCATGCTGTCTTAGTGGCCTTACACACGATTTTAAACCTATTTTTTCAAACTTTGTGATTGAAATGTGGATGATTGTACTGAAAATAACTTTAATCTTTTCTTCAACTGAATACTGTTTCCGTGATGTATTGATGTATTTTAAAGAGTTGGCAGTCAAAATTAAAACTGCTGGATGATAGATATTCTTTAAAATGTATAAATTGCAGTGTACAGCGTTTATTATGAGGGGGTAGAATCTACAAATAAGTACTCACTACTCAATACTCATGAGTACTTTTAAATAGGCTACTCTTTTACTCTTACTCAAGTAGTTTTTTGGACAAGTACTTTTACTCTACTCGCACTACATTTTTTGGAAGGTAATGGTACTTTTACTTGAGTATATTTTTTCAGTACTCTTTCCACCACTGCTTCCCGCTTACTGTGATACGTGCATTCACGAGAGAGTGGCATTCCAGTGGATTTCAGTGCACTTTTTTGAGCTTCAAAATCTGGACCCCCATTAGTAAATTAGTTAGTAAATCATAGGGTAATTTTCATTTTTGGGTGAACTATCCCTTTAAATTACATTTCCTTATTTCCAAATCATTCCAAACCTGACTTTTTTTATTCTGCACAACACAAAAGAAGATATTTTGAAAAAATGTTAAATTATGATGCTGAATATGAATCTACTTGCTAATGTATTTGTAAAAAATGAAATCAGCTAAATGTTATGACACAATGAGTGTATGAATATGATGCAAGAAGCATTGATGCCAAATACATCATAGATTGGCAGAAGGCAGTGCTAGCTCTGGTTATAATATTTTTGTACAATTAAAAATAATATATAATTACGAATCTCAAAATAGGAGGCTTTGTTTCTTGTTCAAATTAAATTGATAAAGTACCAGAGCTTTCAGAGACTTTACCAGCATGCTTGAAGACCTGAACCACTCCAACATGTTTGCCTCACTAGTTGCCTCATCAGTTTCCAAGGCCAAATGAAAATCCCAATATCCTCCCGAGCTGGTGACCCAGAAATCTAAGCAGCGAACAAAATTTAAACCAATACTCTACAGGGTTCATCTTAGTCCACTGCGCTCAGGGGGAAATGCCATGTTTGTTGATTCATTTACTCAACGGAAAAAAACAATAAATCTCACTAACAAGAAAAGACCTCCTCGTTGGTCATCCAATTTCTGTGCACCCCTGGAGTCTGAGGGGCCAGAACAGCCCTCAGGCGCATGTTGTGGTCCAGCTACTCTAAACGTACATTGTGAATTATGAGAATGGAGTGTGGCAGGGATTGGCAAGCACAAAAACAGCTCCAGTTTGAAGACAAACTTCTTTGTTGGTTTTGCAAGATTCAAGGCAAAAGTAAATCTTTAAAACTGAAGAGGGACATTTCTTGATGTGAAATATTTTCTCCTGTCCCTCCACCCAGCTGACCCATTGGCACAACCCATAGCGGGAATTTAGGCGAAGCTGTTTGTTTGTCTGACTGGCGTTTTAAACCGTGTGGGCGCGCGAGAGAGAGCCTATGAAAGCACCAATAATCAAAATAATATACTTTCAAACATACTGATAAACTAACATGTTAAATATAAAAAATATTTAAAACCGCTATTTCATATATATTCAGATACAACAGTCATACATCGCTATTAGGACCGCGCGGCCTGTGACAAGTTTGCCGCATTGACGCACGGAAGTTATCAGTCTGATCTGCAAAATCAGTCAACGGTGAAAATCAAAAGTAGATTTATTTTAAATCAGAAAGAGAATTGATTAGTTCATCTCTCGAGTCTTCTACTCTTCCAGGAAACAGTCCTCCATAAAATGTGCTGCACACATCTGAATATTAGGGTTGAACTGTTCTGGAACAGTGTTGTAAATACAACTTAACCATTGATTTCTAGTTGGGTCCTCTTTTGGAAGGCCAAACAAAGTAGCTTCGCTTTCACATCGAAACACAGCATCACACACGGCGACCTTGAGTGAGCGGCGGCCGGCGGGCTTGCGGCAACTACATGTGACGACCCCGGGCTGGACTTTCCACGGTGAAAGCTGATCCGGCAATCCACAGCGCAAAGTTGATGTATTTCCTCAGCGACCAGTACGGATCAGCTCTAGGCATGACAAAGCGGAAGGCCAAATAAAGTAGTTTCGCTTTCCGAGTCACATTAAAGATTCGTTCAAAATGAACGAATCGTTCAAGAACGACCCAACACTAATTAAGATGAATAAGAGCATACAGACTAGTTGACATTCCAATGTTAAAGGGACATTTTAAATTTAAATTAATGTTTTATGAATGTTTAAATGTTTTATTTGAACAGTTATTTTGTATTACACACTAAAACTGTCCAGTAATATGTTCAGTGTCCTGGAGTATTCAGGAGACAAATGACACTGTTAGTTAAGAGAAAGGAGTTGAGCATCTGTGTTTATGATGAAGATGAACGGAGATCAGATGTGTGAGATCAGAATAAGAGCTTGTTTGATGCAGTTCTTCTGTATGTCTGTAAATGTGTAAGTTGTGCCTGATTTTAGTTCATGATGTCTGTAGATTTCAGTACGTGTGTGTGTGTGTGTGTGTGTGTGTGTGTGTGTATGTGTTTTGCTCTTCAGGTCTGGATCGGTTCTGCAGGTTTAATCAGTCTGATCCCTGTTACGCAGCTCTGGGACACAAACTCAATCTGCTGATGGTGCTGTATGATAGCGTATATGACCTGAGGTTACGTAAGAGAATAATCAACACAGCAGATGGCCCAATTTGTAGAGTAAAGAATGGCAGGATGAGGGATTGTGATCTTTATAATAACAGACCTGGAGTAACCGTCATTAATGAGACTCTGATAATAAACCGTGTGATCAGAGCAGATTCAGGGAATTACAGATTAACACTTGTTCACTCAGACGGCACAGAAACATCTAGAGATCTTCAAGTGATTGTTGAAGGTACAGAAACTCTCTCATCAGACTCGTTTCTGTTACATCATCAAGTTGTTCTGAGGTATTGGATATGCTAAGGAATTTAGATAAATCAGGAAGATTACTTAAAAAGCAGTATTTTGCGGTAGAAGTTGATAATAAACCGTGTGATCAGAGCAGATTCAGGGAATTACAGATTAACACTTGTTCACTCAGACGGCACAGAAACATCTAGAGATCTTCAAGTGATTGTTGAAGGTACAGAAACTCTCTCATCAGACTCATTACAATCTCATGTTCTCCAAAGATCTCACTCTCATGCAAATGAATCAGTTGAATATCTGTGAAGGTTTTTATTGCAGCTCATTATTAAATATCTGGAACAATTAAGGTCAACAGCATCTGCACTTTTCTTGTACTAAGACTATTTTCAAAATGAAATACCAACATGTTGCTTACTGTATACTGCATACCATTTTAAAATGACGTGTGAAAGCATTTCAAACAGTCATTTGCTGCATTGCTGTCACATGACTAACCTATGCTGTGTGTTTAATTTAGTGAGTCCAGCTGTCAGATAAAAACATTGGTTAAGAAATTTCTTGATATTGACTCATAATGAGTCGAGAAAAAGGTCATGTGACTGTGATGTGTCCCTCCCTCCAGCTCCTATTGGCTCAGTGGAAGTGTCAATCATCTGCTCCTCCAGTGGGGTGATGAGGGTGTCCTGCTCCTCTGAGGGGGATCCGCTCCTCTACAGCTGGACTCTGAATGGAGATCCACTGATGGATGGAAACAGCAGCATTGATCTGGATGAGGGAACTGATGGAGACATCAGCTGCAGCGTGAAGAACCACGTCAGTCACGCACAGAACACCATTAGAGTCCAACCCTGTGCTGGTGAGATTTTCATATACGAATGCCCAGATACTGTACATATAGAAACCAGAGCAACTAATAATGCAAGTCTCTTAACTGGGCTCTTAATTCTTGAAAAGACTTTGTTTCAGCTTGATCTCAGCAGTGAATTGTGTTGATGTGGTTCAGAGAGAAAGCAGGTGATTCTGTGCTGATGTTTTATTACAGGACCAACTACTGCAGCTGTGACCTCTAGTTTGACCTCTGCAGTGACCAGCAGCACACAGACATCAGAATGTGGTACGAGTTTAACAAACACACTCCTGGAAACATGAAGGATGGGTTTTGTTTTGTGTCTAATTGTTGTTGTTCAGTGTGTTCAGTGTCTGTGGTGTTTGTGCTGGTCTGGTGTCTTCAGCTGATGGTTCTGTTGGGTCTGTTAGGAGGTTTTCACATCTACATGAGACACACGTCAGGTGAGAGACGTTTATCATCATCATCATGGATTTGACATGCAGATATTAAGAGTGTGATGATGATGATGATGTGATGCTTTTAGGAAAGAAGCAGGAAGATCAGAAAGTGAGGATGAGAAGATTTAGAGAAGGACCTGAACACACAGCAGAAGATTCATGAGAGCAGCAGATCATCACATCTATGAGAAATAACTTCATAATCTCACCGATTCTAACATAAATCCAGCTTTCAGCTGTCGAATAAAACCAGGAGACAGAAGAAGCTTTAATAATCGATACTGATCTTTACATGTGTTGTGTTTATTTCTTGTAGAGTATGTTGATGTATTTCTGTGAGCATTATTTCTGTCAGGTCTGAATCACCATTTAAACTCATTTAGAGGCAGATTTGCAAACTTGTGACGAATGCATCAAAAAGACTGACTACAGTTTTAGTTATGAAGGTCTTTTTTTAATTATTTGTTGTCCATTTGTTTTTGCATCAGTTTTATTCATTAGTCTTTATGCTTTGAATGAACTAGCTTGTTTCATTACATGGAATCCCTTTTGTTCATTCATGATAAAACTCTTCTGGCAGATTGTGACGTTATTCTGTGTGTTTATTTTCTGTGTGAGTTATTTCACATCTCTGCTTCTGCTATTTCATTTAGTATCTATATCTTCATTTACAGTGTCTCATCAGATGTTTTAACTGTTCAAATCTGTTCCTCTTGATCTGTGTCTCAGTTTTAGGTTGTCGCTGTTAAAATTATTAATATTAAATGTGATCTTTTCACTGATTTGTTTTGCTTTGCTAGGCTCCACCTCACAAATGCATTTCAGACACCATTTGTATTGTATGATATTGCATTTTCTCGTAATAAACACTGAAGTCTGTTTGATATGAATCAAAAGCCTTTGATGAGCTCGTAAACAATTTAACTTAGTTTTTTTTCCTCATAGAAAGTGCATTGATACAATTTAAACAAAGCAGTGCCAAACAATAATTGTGGACTTTCTGCATTTTTAGAAATGTGACTGTGAAATGATTCTTCTTGTTTTATCTTTCTCTTACTTTCAGTTTGTGTGTGTGTGTGTGTGTGTGTGTGTGTGTGTGTCTGTGTGTGTGTATTTAAGTAGGAACTGCTAAATCACAGTAACAATCTCTGAAAACTTCCTCTTACTTTCTTTGTAAAAGTCGTGTAATCTCCTGATGTGTCAGTAGAGCTGCTGTCTGTCAGTGAGACTCGATCTGACTCTCTTCTGCTGGACTTTAGAGAAATGATGCTCATCTTTGGCCTGATGCTGCTGCTGCAGACTGCTGCATGTGAGTCACTTTCACATCAAACTCTTATGATGCTGATCAATCAGATCAATCTCAGAAATAAAAACAGTGATATTCAATTCATTGCAAGACTTATAGTTAAAGAGTTGGATGTTTTTGTTAAAGACCCCAAAATGTTGTGGACAAAAAGTTTGTGGTGGAAATTCCGAAATAAAGTGCAGGAGTCTGAATTCCCTCCACAGCTGACAGATCTCAGAAATCTCCTTCTGTAAAGAATAAGTGCTGATTATGTACCAGAAAACATAAATAACATTCACTGATTGATTAAACATACTACTTTAACTTTGAAAAAGCTTGCAAACTAAAATAGCATTTTATATACAATGATTGCGCTTCTATTCTTGTTTTCACACATTATCACATGGTTCAGCTTTATTGCTGATAAAACAGATCTCTAACTTCCTCTTCCCTCTTTGTTATTTGCTGATAACATGCCTCTATATCAGAAATAGTTCATTATATTTTATAATTTTTTCCTACAGTCATTATTTGCACTAAAATATTTTCTTTGCACTCAAAAGACCTAAATTCAAAGCAGAAATTTCACAGCCAAGCAATCCTCAGTATTATTAAACATTAAAATATAGCATGCCATTTCTATTAAAGTCATACATGATATTTCTCTTTACATTGTGCACACATACTGCCATTTATTAATAAATCCAGATATGTGCACGGTAACTAAGGTTTATACACCAGACCTCTGATGTTCTGGCTGGTGCACATGTATTTAATGTGATATGAATTAAATTATGAGCAATGATGGATTGGAGATGGGTTTTTTTTTGTTTGTGTGTTGTAGATGCTTACCGACAGCTATTTTTTATTTATTTTTTCAGTTGTTTTCAAAAAGTTTCAGGACGTGTAGAAAAACTGCACTTTTTATCATTTGAAAGCTGATATGAGATCAAGAGTCTGATACGTGTCTTCCGTAGAACTTATGCATATTTGTATCTGATTGAGATTCATGATGAGAGAGATGATATTTATACCAGCAGTAACACTCTGACTCTGTCTGTCGATGTTGGTACATTTCATTTTGTGTGTGTTTTGTTCTTTAGGTCTGGATCGGTTCTGCAGGTTTGATCACCTATATTCGATCAAACAATGTTACGCAGCTCTGGGACACAAACTCAATCTGCAGATGAAGCTGAACCCTCAATATCAAGACCTTCATTTGTATAAGAAGTTAAATGATGGCAGTATACTGGAAGTTTTTAGCATAAAGAAAAATAAAGAGTACGATTATGTATCCATCAGAGACATACATGAGTTCTTTAAAAATGTGACTCCGATCACAAATACACATGAATCCATCAAAAACAGATCTGAGTTCTTCTTTGATAATTTGACTCTGACCATAAACAATGTGATCAGAGCAGATTCAGGGACTTACACATCAGATGTCATTGAGATAGATATGGTCACAGCCAGTGATCTTCAAGTGATTGTTGAAGGTATAGAAGCTCTCAGAAATATATTTTATTTTAGAAATGCCTTGAGATTGACACTGATTATATGTTGAGAGAGTCATGTGACTGTGATGTGTCCCTCCCTCCAGCTCCTATTGGCTCAGTGGAAGTGTCAATCATCTGCTCCTCCAATCAGACTTCAGTGTTCTGCTCCTCTGAGGGCGATCAGATCATCTACAGCTGGACTCTGAATGGAAAAATACTAGAAGAAGGACCAATGATTGGAAACAGCAGCATTGATCTGGATGAGGGAACTGATGGAAACATCAGCTGCAGCGTGAAGAACCACGTCAGTCACGCACAGAACACCATTAGACTCAAACCCTGTCCTGGTGAGATTTTAATACATGAATGTCCAGATACTGTATATAACAACCACAGCAACACCATTGATGTAAAGCAGTCAAGTCTCTTAAAGAGGCCATTGGATGCAAAATTCACTTTTACATGTTGTTTAAACATAAATGTGTGTTGGCAGTAGGGGTGTGCAGCGAAGCCAGTATTTGTATCTGTAACAATCACAAAATTATTCGTATCTGTATTCGGATAAAACCGGAAGTAGGCAGAGCTTGAACCGGAACTTTGTACAGTTACTTGATAAGACCTTATGTCTATGGTTTTACAGACTATATTTTTTTTCATAGTAATCACTGATCAGATATGATTATAACATTTCATATTATAGCATAATGCTTCGAGATGTAGTGCTGTGCTTCGGGCGATGCGAGTTCGAGTCCCAGCTGGGGACCTTTCGTGATTTGATAAATAAATATTTAAATATCTTCTCAATAAAACGGTAAGGGATCCTGCCCAGTTTAGAAATATGGAAATTGATTTAAGTAATTTACAAGAAATGCATGGAAAAAGGCAACTGCAACACTGCTATTTTATTTGCGCTTATTTCATTCATAGAATTTACACTCATTTACTGCGCACACTTGTTATTTTAGAGGTTTATGTAAAACAACATGCTTTCCTTTGGCTCACCGGTTTCTGTGCAGTTTAAAAAAGTATTTCACTTAAGTAATTTGCAGGTCTGGAAAAGTATGGGGAAAAAAGAGAACAGAGTATGGAACAATATTTGTGTTTCAACTATTTGCCCTTATTCGGTGTTCTAAAATATAAAATTAATAATTTCTAAAAATAAATGTATCATACAAGCAGAGAGATTTCATGACAAAAGTTTAGTGATCATTTGAACACGACTGAATTCATTCAAGGCGCACATTTTCGTTACGCAGAACTCTTTAAGCGAGTAAGCACAAACCAGCCAAAGATAAAGAAGCAAACGTGTAGGCCTAGTAGAAAATGTATCTGTATCTAGGGATGGCTGACGCAAAACTGACGTTTCGACACGGTGTCGAGATCCCGAAGCGGACATGTTTCGAAACACTGCTCCAAAGTGTGATTCGAAACACCCATGTCACGTGACTATAAGGCGAATCAAAGCATCGGGGCGTTTCTCAAGTGTTTCGAGACCCGAATCTGCTTTTGATCGACAGGGTCGGGAACAAACCACACAATCGCAGATCTGTCTTAGCCTAACTCCCGCAAAGTATAAAAGTGGAGTTAATGCAGCAGAACAATTCATATATTTAAATACAAATCTTTATATGCAAAAAATGCCAGGCATTGTGTCCTTTATTAATGTTAATTTTTTCATAACCAAAATAACATATTCACAAAGAGTTAATTCAGTTGTCAGAGAGATGTTACAACACATTACAAGAACAGAACAATAAAAACACAACTTTCAAATATGTATTATAATTATATACATGCTTCACCTGGGATTCGAACCTGAAGTGACAGGTTCTGACAACCTGCCTGTCGTGCACACTAACCACTCCCCCAACCCACATAGTGGACTAACAAGAAGGGCCACATTAAGACCTCACTGGGCCCCGGGGCTATGACTTACTGCAGGGCCCCCCATCACAATAATGATATATATAGCTTAAAATAGGATTTTTATCCAATCAAAATTGTTGATGCATTGCAATTTCACAATTCTTGTTAGCATTTCCAATATCACAAAATAAAAAATGCAAAAATACTAGCCTACGTAAAAACAAACTTACTGAAGACAAGTAAACAGTCATGAATTACAATAGAACAATGAAATTGACCTACAAACACTTAAAGCACTGAATAAGAAATATTATATTGTATAAAATAAATAGACTATAAATAGACTGAATAGTCTTCACTGCATAAATTCAATTTACATTATTTCACAAAAGCGATTCGGTCAAGGACTATCTTTCTAGTGTTTAATTTACATTATTGACACCAATAACAACAGCAGCTATATTAGGCTGCTTTGGAGGAATAGTTCACCCAAAAATTAAAGTTATGTTGTTGTTCTAAACCTGTATGAGTTTCCTTCTGCTGTTGAATGCAAACGTATACTATATTTGGAACAATACTGGTAACCAAACAGTTTCTGTGCCCCCATGATATGATGAAAAAAAAAACACTATTGGAGTCAACAGGGACCAGAAACTTTCTGGTAGTTACGAATATTCTTCAAAATATCTTCTTTTATGTTGAGGAGAACAAAGAACTTCATACAGGTTCAGAACAACTTGAAACGGAGTAAATGATGACACTATTTTAATTTTTGGGTGAACAATATCCCTTTAAAATCTCATCATATAATGCCAGGATCTCATAAACTAGTGCACATGCTTTATCTTTAACTATTAACGTTCATTTAAGACACAAATTACTGCGTTGACGAGGAGACAGGCATTTTGACACATAACTATGTGTATTCGGACGTTTAAACACAAGGCGCAAAAAATAACTAGTTTAGTCAGGCACTGTACGAGGCAAGCGCACCCTGCACGTATCAGAAACCGTCTTAATGCGCACATTTGCCAAAATGAATGTTGCCCCACTGCTTAATGTCCCTGAACAGTTAAATTAGTTTTTAAACCAAAATGATTCAAATGCGTTTAAAGGGGTCATATGACGCGATTTCAATTTTTCCTTTCTCTTTGGAGTGTTACAAGCTCTTGGTGCATAAAGAAGAT